CCACAAAGCTTCTTGTACCTCCTCCGCCTCCTGCTGCTCCTCCTCCTCCTCCTGCTCCTCCTCCTCCTGCCCCTTCTCATACACTGCTCTTGTCTCCTCCCGAAAGTATAAGAACCCCCAAGGGAGTTCTTTACCAATTCTGGGTTCCCTTCCCCCCTTTCCTTTCTTCGGAATGAATTTGGTCCAGTCAACCATCATCGAACGCCCGATAATGCCTAGCCGCCGAGACGGGCCTACCATGTCAACCAGGAGGGATGGTGGATGGTCGTCGCCGATCCCTACTTGAAGCTCACGATGTCCACGAGTGTTCTCTGGTTCTCAGCCTCACTTCATCCAGGACCAGCCCAATGATGGATGGAGAGATCCGGCACCAGAGGAGAAGGGTTGGCGGTTGAGTTGATCCACTAGTGGGATAACAACAACGCCGGGGACCAGAGGTTGCCAAGGACCAAGGAGACTTGAACAACAATACTCCCAGCCCGGTCGTCATGGAAGTTACCTCACTCAGGAAACGGGAGCCGATCGAGATTCGGAAGATGACGGCACCGCGAGCCAAGGAGGAAAAGATCAGCACACAACCGCAAGCCACGACCCCATACCGGCACCGACATGGAGCAAGAAACAATTGAAGAGGATGTAGATATGGGTCGACGATATGGATAGGATGGAGAGCAGAGGCGAGGGTGGAGGGCAGAGGCGAGGAAGAGGGATATCGACAAAGGGCGACTCGATCACGAACCTCAGCACTGGCTTGGCCCGAGGACAAGAAGTTTGATTGAGTTGGGGAGTGGAAAGGCTTTGACTGTTGGCCTGGGTGTTAACCGGCTCGGCAAGAAAAAAGGGTTGACGGGGATGAGAGTCGATGGATCGATGAGTTGGGACTATTGGGGTTTGATCAAGGATCTCGAGTCTCTTAAGATACGCCATTAACACCCCAACTTTCGGGCTCGATGTCGGATCTGTGCAACTCACGCTATGGCCGAAGACCGACGATGATTGGGAAGCGACGTGCTCCTCTAACTTGGATGAGACAACTCACTGGAACCCATACTGACAGCGGCCAGCCAACGGTGCGGGATACGAAGAATCGACCGAATTACAAGCACTCGCAACGTCTTCCAATGCCGATATTCCTCTTTATGGCCTGAATTCAATGGTCACTATGGCTACCGGCTGAAATTCCGGGTCAAATTGGCTGATTCTTTGGGGGGAAAGGGGGAATTGTTGGAGACTGAATCATCCGGGGTCGGTTCACAAAGCCCGATTGACACTCGTCTCCGATCTTGGATACTGGCAGCAACACATTAAAATGCATTCCCGGCCCATACAAACTCGAAGGGATGGCTGAACGACGGACTTAGGGGGGTTCTTGCCTACTCGGACCTCTTTTCGCCGACAAGCCAGACTCAAAAAACGATGCGGGATGTTGAGTGTCTTAACGAGGTTCTGGGACACTTGGGCAAAGCTTGGGAGCTGTCCAGAGAAAGATAACGGAAAATAAAAATCGCGAGGGGCTGAGTATGTATCGAAGTGACGCGGCCAGCACTGTGGTTTTGGGCTTGAAAATGCAAATGGAGGTTATCCGACGGCTCGATGTTTGGATCGAGGCGAGAGCGCGACTTCAGGCGACAACTCCGCTGTCATCCGGGTTTCTGAGAAGGAACAGCCGTGTGTGCCCGATCCGAGTACAGCTTGAGCATTGGATGCTTTGCTTTGGAGTCCTCTATCCCATCTAGAAATTTTTGAGTTTGGAAATCTCCTTGTCCTCACAGCATCTGTCTTGCAAGCCACAGCCAACCATACCTCTGCCCGTGCCGTTTCCATGAACATCAGCTGGAAGCACCGCTGGGGCTGGAAGCTTAGGACAGCAGAAGGGTCAGGGCAAGTCATGGTTGGATGGATTCTATGAAGGCCACGCAAAAGAACAGTCACCACGGGGCGAGAACAAGCAGCAGAAGATGCGGTTTCGAAAGCAGCGGGAGGATGAACTGAAGGAGCAAAAGATGATAGGACAACTCGGTACATATAGAACAGCATAATAAGCCTCAGAATAAACAGGCAGAATTCCAATCGAGTAGACGAGTGAATAACAAAGTCGCAAGTTGGAGACAAGGGAGAAGAAGTGGAGGTGGCGGGCAAAAACATCCCTTGCTCAAGGGTCCGAACGTATGTATTCGCGACTTGCGCAGATCTGAAAATGGGAAGCTGAGAAGGTCGCCAAAACCTGTCCACTCAAATAACAACCTGAAACCGAATTAGAGGCTGGGAAGGGACGGCCATGAAAAGGTCGAGAGTTTAATGTTTGAACGGCGACTAAAAGTGGAAGGAAGAGATCTGGCAAGCCCGGAAGGAGCGGCCTTGTCCAACTTTCATGTACTTGTTTCAGCTCAGGCTAAAAACCCGTCAAACCATTACCTAGGTACGTACCTATTGACGGTGCGGGGCCGCTTGCACGTGCGCAGGCCGGCTCCCTGTGCCTGGCTAACCACCTAACGGGTTACGTTAGGCTTGCTACCCTCCATTCTTCGCTGACGTCAGCTGTGGGCAAGCCAATTCGATTCCGGGGCTTCCAGGCAGCTGCGAATCACGAACATCAAGCCTCGAGTTGCAGATAGCAAAATAAGGGCTTCGAGACAGTATCGACAACATCTATCGCCGCCCGTTTTGCAGAACTATGCTACCGACCGTATAATCTGTGTCGTCTGAAAAACATTACACTCTCGAGAAGCAGCCATGAAGGCCATATTCGCGGTGCCAGCCACCTTACTGCTCGTCTACAGAGCCTACTCCCGCAACTCATTAACACCCGCCGGCATCTTTGCCGCCGCTCTCACAGCCATTGCCCATGCCGTCCATCCATGGAACCTGCCATTTGTTCTGCTCGTCGTCTTCTTCCTGGCGGGCACTCGAGCCACACATGTGAGCCTCATCCGAATTAAAAAAAAGATCATCGAATCCACCCTTGCTGACACAAGCCTCTAGGTTAAAGAAAATGTCAAAGCCACGTTGACCTTGCACTCAAGAGGCTCGTCTGGCGGCGAAGGCCCACGCACACACGTCCAGGTCCTCGCAAACTCGCTCACGGCCTCCGTGTTGACGCTACTGCATGCATACCAGCTTCGCCTACGGCGAAATGCCCTGATCGCCTCGCCATCTGCCGCCAGCAGCAGCAACCTCGGCAGTCTGTGCTTCTCCTGGGGCGGCGACCTGCTGGTGGTTGGTATCATTGCCAACTACGCGTGCGTGGCGGCGGACACGTTCAGTTCGGAGCTCGGCATACTGTCCACAGGCCAGCCGCGTTTGATAACCAGTCTAACACTCCGAAAAGTGCCGTGTGGTACAAATGGCGGCGTCACTCTAACTGGACTCGGTGCTGGCTTGCTCGGCAGCATCGTCATCGTCACAGCATCTGCCCTGCTACTGCCCTTTTGCTCCGACCAGACGGTTGGCGGGCTTGGTGGTGGGAACGCCTGGACCAACAACCAACGCCGCACCCTGATTCTCGGCCTGGCGGTTTGGGGTCTCCTCGGAAGTGTCTTGGACAGCATTCTTGGGGGTTTGTTCCAGGCCACTGTCAAGGACGTGCGCACCGGTAAGGTCGTGGAAGGCGAAGGCGGTACGCGCGTGCTGGTGTCAGGGAGCACAACTGATAACTACAGCAAGAAGGCTGAGGTAAAAGCGGCCTTGTTGAGCGGCGAAGGCAAGGATGCTGTTGAGAAGTCCGACGCTGTCGAAGATGGCGACGCCAGCCTCGACAAATATGACGCGCGCAGGAAGTACCGTCGGGCAAGCTTTGGTGATGAGAAGCCGTCGAGAGTCGTGGAAACCGGGCATGATCTGCTCGACAATAACGAAGTCAACTTCTTGATGGCGTTTACCATGAGTTTCGGCGCCATGGCGGTTGCGTCTTGGTATTGGAATGTACCTTTGTGGTCCATCTTTCCCGTGGGCACACCGTCATAGATATCTGGGCTATATCATATTGAGGCGGGATTTTGGGTCTTTGAGGATCACAGCGAGCTCGTTATTTAGCTTAGTTTTTGCCGAATTATTGAGAGAGATCTTAGCCTTATTCTAGCAGCGTCGGGAAGATCACAACTGACATTTTATATTCCTGGGCGATTAATTCTGCGCTTCGAGGTGGGTTTGCTTATGAGGCAGCTCCCCAAGTCCGATTCCCATCTGAGTTGATTAGACTATACATGTTAATTCCTGGTAGGAGTAGAATAGCTGTGGCATATAGCTTGTGATATCTGTTCTGGAGATATTCTGCCTGATTTAGCACTCGAAATTTCTCACTCCAATTCATCAGTTCATAACTGAAAGTCCCCACGTTCGTGAATTCAATGAGGTGCAAAATACAAGAGATTATCTAGAAGCTTTCGTTTTGGGTCCCGAAAGAGTAAGAGAAGAGTATGACAAATAACAACGCCCTTAATAAAAGAAACAAAGGATTGGAAGATAGGTTTAAGTGAGTTGGCATAGAAGCGCACCGATGATACAAAGCTTATATAGTTTCCAGGTACATCTTCCACATCCGACCATAGGCACTGCAAAATTCGGGATCCCGTCCGCTCTCCCATAGACAAGCCAGTGACCGCCCACCTAGTAGTTGGGTGGGTGATCACCAGCGAATCCCTGGTGTTGTACGTCATTTTTCAACAATGTTGACAGTTCCTATCAACATTATAAGAGTTCAGAGAATGCTCTTTCCGCGGCAATGCTTTACTTTTTATATGGAGACGTCCCTTTAATAAAATTGTATCTTCATTAATCATCCTTGCTCTTGGGGACAATCAGCAATTCCGTTTGGAACTTGGACATTAAAGAGGTTCTCTCGTACAAGATGTTGAAGTGGAACCCCAGTGGTGCTTGTTATGGAGTCACCATTCTTGGCGTGGCAAGATGAAATTTTCAACAAGGCCCAAGTAGCCACACATTACCCACCCAAAACGTACTGAGAGTGCCCGTTTTCGAGTTCTCCGTCCGTCAAGCAAACAGGGAAGATGGCCGAGCGGTTAAGGCGCCACGTTAAGGTTTGGTCTTTAATCAGCATCTGAATCTCAGATTCCGTGGTTCGAAAGAGCGTGGGTTCGATTCCCACTCTTCTCATTCATTTTTGCTCCTGATATCTCCTCAAAAACTCCTTCCGAAAAAGATTTGGTTTTGGAACAAACAGCAATTAGATAGCCATGTCTTTTATAAGAGTTGTCTAGCTGAGCTCCCAGTTCCACTGGCGAGTATAGCCCCCGCTGCAAACGTCACCGCGTTGGAGCTTTTCCTCCCTAAGCCTCGGAGACTGGGCTGATATAACGTCTTGAATCTGTTTCGAATCGTGAATCTGTTTATAATCCGTGGCTCTGATATTGAGTATCTGGGATTGTGTCCTGGACTCGATGGCTGAGGCCAGTACAAGTTTACGACTGGCAGCTTTGAAACGAAATACACCAATCACACGAGTTCCATGATGATGGTATCAAACACTTCAATATTGACAATGCAACTCCCGACCACTGCTGCGAACGCGGCTTCTGAGTGGCTAAGCTACCCCGAGACATCGCTGATTCTCTATGGCCAGATGGGATTGTGAACTGGGTAATGTTGCACGATTCGATTGTCATAATTTTCTAAGGCGACTTCCGCGACTTATAGTGGTAGTATCCTCTCAGTACACACTTCAGATGGTGTTGGTGCACATAATACTAGGGAAATAGTCACTGGGCAATCTTAGGTTGATGGCTCCCCGTCGAGCTCTACAATGGCCCCCGATCTTTACTCGGCGCTGTATTGTCATATTTTACATTTGGATTACGGGTTACGATTTTCAGAAATCGCATCAGAAAGGCCAGTCTTTCAAAAGCAGACGCCTTGTAAGTTTCATGCCACCTTACAGGGAAGAGTTTAAAAGAAATCACATGATCGATGCTCTTGCCCCCGCCCCCTCTTAAGATCCAGTAAAGAATGTCAATTTAAGAATTAGTTTTAGATTTCGCAACTGTAAAGACCAAATAAATGACGAGCTCATAATCCCAACAACTACTGTCATGACCCAAGTGGTATGCTGCTCTCGTAGAATAAGATCGATCTACCCAAGCAATAAGAGTAGGAAGATTCACAGGAATTTACTACAAGAATACATCTCGTCTGCATCTCCTCATAGAAAGAGCGTCATTGGAGCCTCTAATAGAGACGTTAGATCAAGATTCTCTTGACCGCCACAATAAATTCCACTCTCCACCTATTTACAACGTCTTGGCCTCCGATGCTGCTTGGGCGAGCCTCCTCCTTTCAGTCTGACATATTTAAGGCTCTGAGATACTTTTAAGAGCCACGAATCAAATACTACTGGCCGCAATGGTCAAGCCTATGGTATTTTTTAGGGACGCTTAGGCATGAGAAAAATCCCCGCAGGGAAAATAGCGAGGGCCACTGAGAAGAGCCAGCCTCGACAGAATACACAGACAGGCCAAAACTTAGTATCTAGAGGGCTAAATGACGGTACGCTCCGCGCACCTTTTACATCACTTTGACAGATCAGAGTTAGCTTTGTGAGACAGTAATGTAGATAGAGAACATATTGTGAATCTTCGCTTCGACCGACAGATACGAAAGGTTTCCAAGGTGAGAGGAGTGATTAAGAGTTGGCGATATGTCAGGTCACAATATGCCAGCGAGCTCGGGAATAACGAGTACAAGATTCCGTTGGTCAAGATGCATATTTGTATCATAAACCCTTCGCCCCCATACACTGTAATTGGGCTACCCGGAGTTATCATCCAACTCCAAACTATTACCTCGCATCTCTCGCCAGGCAGAAGGTAGGCATAATCAGCACGTGCGGTACCCATTTTGTAAGGGTCATTTATGCACCAACTCCACTGGCATAAAAAGATTAGAAGTTACAATGTTAACTTTGATTACAACAGTAGAGTACCTAGGCTATCGTGCCGAACAGTGGAACTTGTCTTCAACAACACAATACTAAACCAGGGAAAGATGTCAATGCTATCAACAATTCATGCGCTCACCCTATCCTCAATCAGTGAAGCAATAGTCCCTGATGTTGCATGTGCTATTACCATCCCCCCCCCCCCCCCCCCCCCCTCTTCCCCTCTCTTGATATCTCATCTCCAAAAAGCCGAGCTGTTCATGTGTGCCCGCGTGACTATACCCATCAAGGTCAATCCGACAAACACTTATTATTCATTTCCAACAACGCCACATTCAGCTAATCAAGAAAAATGCCAACCAGTCCAGTCAAGTCGTGCCAAAGTACTCTACTCGCTAAAAGTTGGTGGAGAGCTGGAAATCATCGTCGTCAACATAATCGAAACTAGGCATAGAAGCAGGGTTGCCATCCCCCTCCTCGTCGACATCGTCAAAGATCGACATAAATTCGGGCTGCTTCCAATCTTTCGAAGTCTGTGCGAAACGGGCAGGTGTGATTGTGCAGTCTGATCCCGACGATGCCGTGCTCACAGATCGTGTAAGGGCGCGAGGCCGAGGCTGGTTGGGAGAGGCCACCTCGGGGAGGCGGCTCACGGAAGGCATTCTTGTATGGACGGTCGACGATGCCGACCGACCTTTGCTATAGCCCAATGTGCTCCTTGAAGCTGCGACGGAACCCGCACGGTCTACGGGAGTGGACGTGCTTCTAGGCTGGATTGCTGGCAGTGCTGTCTTCCTTCCGGCAAGCAGAAAGGGTTTCGGCTTCGGCTTCGTGGCTGGTGCGGCTGCCGCCCCAAGGGGTCTGTTGGCCTTTGTCTGCGAAGTGCTCAGAGGTTTGGCGGGCATCGCAAGAGCCAACGCCGCTCGACGCGACGCAACAGTTGTGGGCGCCCTGAGAGCAAGAGCTCGTGGTTTCTTGTCCTGTGTGGCTTCCTCTGCTGCTGTAACGCTATCCTTTTGAACCTTGAAAAAATCCTTACTCGCTGGCACGTCGCCAATACTCCAGTCAAACTCATCCATATCTTTCCGGATCTGTTCGTCACCACGCTGGAAGTCCCGCTTGCGCTGCTCCTCCATTTCTCGCTCCGTCGCTGACATACCATTGTCATCCACGTGGTTGAAATAGTACTGGTAGTATCCCTTGAACATGTTCTCTGGCTTCAAGCCCGCGTACGTGAGAACTCCATCAGGGAAAACGTCGGACTGATACGGGGCGTCCTTTACACTTGGAGGCGCGTATTCAATGTCCTCGTCTTCGTCGAGAGGGCTCTTGTCGGTATGAACTTCGAGCTTCGAAGATTCCACTTGAGGGCCCCCTTGCCTGGGTCGGACAGTGGTTGTCGGTTTGATGCCAGTCTTCTCAAACTCGCGTACGATGTCTTTGACACCGGCGTTTTGCTGCGTTGCTCTGGCTTTGGCATTTGTCGTCTTGTTGCCAAGCGGAGCGCGAGTGGTACGAGGCTCTGCAGACACAGACACGGTCAACACTTCGACATCGAGCAAGCATCTCTTGCAGATTCGCACCACACTACGTACCAGCTGGGGTCATCAGGTTAGACCTGGTTGCCTTGCCCAGCCCATTTCCTCCCTTGCCAACTGTAGCAATGTTTTCATTATTCCCTTTGGTTCGCAATACGCTCTTTCCACCAAAGCCGTGATTCGTGTTCTCGTCGTTGAGCGGGACCTTCAACGGCGTCTTTGGGTATCGGGCGCCTGGGGTCTTGGACTGGAGCTGCTGCTTGGAGCTGGCCGCCGCGGCCTGGTGGCTCAAGAGGTTCTCCTGGTCGCGGTGAGCTGCCAACATCGTCGCGGCGTGCTGGTGATGGCCTTTCCAATGGCAATTTCTGGTGAATCTCCCAATCGGTAGTCGAGATTGGACGTGACGGAATATGGGGAAGTTTTGTTGTAGGGGTTTGCTCAGAGCGTGCCCAGACACTGTTTACAGTCAATGAATTTGGGGAGGTTGCCCAGTAACCGAAGTGCTGAGGTGAGGGCCCCACCTTTAGCCGGACTTGCAGATCAGACAAAGTGACAGTCGTTAATAAAAATAACCGCTAGAGGTCGAAACGCCTCCGCCTCAGGCGAGGAGGGGCACGGCGTGTGGCATCTCATTATCCATTTCAAACCCACCAACGTCGCCGACGCCGTTCTCCTCCTTTTCCCCAAACACTGCCAAACCACTAGCCTTCGCAAACGACCTTGCTTCATACCTCTACATCTCGCCTCTTTGACAAACCTCTCGATTTCAACTTCCAAACGCCGCCATGGATCGCATCAAGGAGGTGAGCTGCTGTTCCTCAAGCTGGATCCTTGTTGTACCCCACCATGTGGACACCCCTCATTGAAGCATCACCACCACCACCTACAGCCACGGCAAATATTGGCCAGCACGCTGCTCGAGGCGGCATCTGCGGCTGCGGCTGCAATATCCTCAGCTCCTATGATGATCATGATGACTAACATGGCGATGCACTCCACAGAAAATGAACCAGCTTCGCCTGGAGGCTGACGAGGCTTCCTCAAGGGTGGAGGAGCTCCAGGCCAAGGTCAAGGCGCTTGAGCAGGAGAACCTTCAAAAGGAGCAGGAGATCACGTCTCTCTCCCACAAGAATAATGTACTGGAGGCCGACGTCGAAAAGCTCGAACTTCAGGTTAAGGACCTGAAGCAGAGCAGCGAATCTGGTCAACAGCATAGCACTCAGAACGAGACCCTGACTCGGAGAATCCAGCTTCTCGAGGACGAGGCTGAGCAGGCTGACAAGACTTTGCGCGAGGCGAACGAAAAGTAAGTTTATGCCCATCTTATGACGTTACTTCGAATCAGTAGCAAAAACGCATGGCAATGCCCTGTCTTTTTTGAAGAATTTCACTAACTCTCTCTCCCCCTTCCAGGCTCCGACAGACCGATGTCAAGGCCGGGCACTTCGAGCGCAAGGTTCAGGCCCTGGAGGCCGAGCGTGACACATGGGAGTCCAAGTACGAGGAGATGGCCAAGAAGTACAACGCTGTGCAGAAGGAGCTTGAGGAGTTCCAGATCGAGGTTGGCAACATTTAAAGGCTTTACGTTTGCAGCCGCTGCAGGAGTCGGTCGATATGCCTATCTTGTTTGTTCGCGGTGTCTTCACAGCATAACCGAGTTTGTGGATTTCAGCTTAGATTTGGTC